GTTTTTTTCCAGGTGATTGACTATGCAAGAATGTCGCCTTTCAAGACCTAACCCTTTCCCTGTCATACTGTCCTGTTGAAAACCACGTGACTGTGGATTAGCTTCCATTATTAGGTATATATTGATTAATTTGTAAACTTCTATCTATCTAGTGGGTACCTATCGCGGGCCGCGTCGTAGCGCGTGAGTGCCGGTGGGGGCGGGGTACTTCAGTTTGAAGGCAGCAGGAGCTAAAATGGCTGAATATTGTCCAATGCTATTTTCGGAGAAGCGGCTGTTGATTGACCTCTGGGACAAATACCCTGTAAGTAAGACACACAACCATTTGCATATTGTGTGTTCTGCGTTTGGTGTCTGGTGTTTTACTGTTGTCTCGCTTGGTGTGTGTGTGGTAGCTGGGTCAGTGTCCTGACCCAGTGCGGTCAGGAGCTGATGGGCAAATCTCTCATCAAGAACAGAAATCCCACGAGAAGCGGCCGTCAAGGAGGTGGACAGAGCGGAAGCACGGGAGCGGGACCACCCGCGTGCCACGAAAATTCAGAGCCAAGGGACCATGTGTCTCTAGCAGACAACACAGGAGGTAGTAGGACACAGAGACAACAAGGACTTTTTATTCAGCCTAGAAGACATCCATGTGAAATGTTCAGCAGGGGATGGGAGCGCGAGCGAGCGGTGGGTTGGTGGTAGCAGGGTTGACATGGATGTAATGTTCTCAGTGGCGTGACCGAGGCGGTGTTGGGCGATGAGGGGCTTGAAGTAGAGTAGGCCGGGGAAAGTGAGTGGGCAGTAGTTGCAGTGCAAGGAGAGTGCGCCGTTGGAGAAGGGCGCTGCCGCTGTAAGTGGTGTAGGGAGGTACTGACCCGTACGGGGGGTAGCGCGCGGCGGGATATATATATATATATACAAACATATGTCCTCTCAAATATGAGCCATAGCCAGTTATGAAGACTATCATAAGCATGGCAGTTACAGTTATAGAGTTTATCTTACTGTAGCTTATAAAAACACGTTTTTAATTGAAGTTAAAACATAAAAGTCACCAAATGTTGTAATTGTATGTATTATCGCACAAAAAGTTATTCTCATATTTTCTGGATTCAGGGTGTTTTGTGCCTCCGTCAGACTCCTCTCATTATTCTACCATCATTTCCATTATGATTTTGGTCAAGTGACAATTCTGGTCGCACTCTTTGGTTTTTTTTCTGCAGCACTTTGCACCTCACCTGGGATGTCTCAGTAATGAGCAGGACATCCCAGAAGAGGTCGGAAGCTCAGAACAGCAATTAAACAGCGGTGCAGAGGGAAATCAGGGAGCCTTATTGACATGTCTGATGTGCAAATCCTGAAAACAGGTCTGAGACTGAGAGCCCAAAGAGCAGACTAGTAGCTATGCTGAAGTACATACTCATACACTGGCCATGACCCCTCAGTCAGTGACTGCTTGAGTGAGCTGAATAATCACCTACCAAGTTAAAGCAGGGGGTTGTTTAGAAAACTACAGGCATCTGTTTGGTTTATATTCATTTTTTTTTGTCTTTTTCCTTGAAATCACACAACAGATGTGTCATGTATCACTCAGATATTGTGTGGAAGTGTCGCCTGTTTATTTGAGTATGGATTGTAACAAAGCAAAAATCTCTCATTCTTGCAGACTGACTCAAAGTTTAATACATTTCTACAGATGTACTCTTTACAATAAGGAGGTTTTAGGTTATTGGCCTTATTGCTGTGTAGTGTCTGAATGATAATCTAAATCTTATTTGATCTGTTATTTTCCTGCATCTAAATGTCTCCCATATAGTGTTTTTTTTTTCTAACCCTGACTCAGGACTCTTATTAAACTGAAGTGTTTATATAATGGTAATTGATAACAAGTCTGCCTTTTAGTCAGACTTGATAAATTGGTGAATTCATATTTGAGTTTTTCTGATAAACTGAAGTCTTCCTTTACGGGTGGATAAAATAAAACCCTATTAGATTAGCTGGAAAATATATTGTCACAAAGCTGAAAACTGTTTTTCTGAGCTCATGAAAAGTTGACTTTTCGAAGGTACGTGGTTCAGCCACACAGCAAACATATGGTGATCTTATAGAATATGATTCACTGCTGTAGATTAAACTACCCAGCAGCATGTAGGGTAGTTCAAATAATCAACCTTAAACAGCAGTAATATTAAAACATCACATATATTAGTACAATGACAGGGACCATTTTAATGATACATAACTTTAGTAATAGGACTTTTACTTGTAGTTTAGTTTTTTCACCAGGTGTTGTTAGTACTTCTACTAAAGTAAAGGATCTGCTGCTTCTTCCACTGCTTATCCTGTATAAGGAGTTTCATACTGGTCTTTGATATTTGGAAAGAGAAGAAGGGGCTGAAGAGACGATGAGGATGAAGACTTGTTTAACTTTAATTTTAACAGAGATGGAGGCTGAGAGTGAGGAAGATGATGATGATGAAGATGATGATGGTAAAAAGGTCAGTGGTGACGTCACACAAAGCCGAGGGGCGGTCACCCTCTCTGCTGTCGCCATTAATGTTTACAAGTGTTGTTTATTTTCACTGTTTTGTTGTTTATTCTTTATGCCATTGTCATTGTTAATCTTATGTACTCTAAATGTTATTGTTGTTGGTCCTTGTTAACACTTGCTGCTTTCTCCGGTCATTTGTGTTTTATTTTTGATGTTGTCTCTGCAGTGTGTTTTTGTTTAGTCATTTTTGCTGTCGTCGTCGTCGTCGTTGTTGTTTATTCTTAATGTGTCCTGTTGCTGTTTTTCTTGTCCTTAACGTTAACAAGCAGCGAAGGCTTACTGTTGACTGGTTTGATTGAGTTTCGATTAAAATAGTCCTCCACCAGTTTAGCATTGCTTTCTTATAACATTGTCAGACTCACAACAGACATTTAAAAATTATCCAGACATATTTCTCCTTATCACACACATGTTTCTTCCTTGTCAAAACCTGGAGCCTAAGTACCCACAATGCAACTAGACTGCAGACAGTTTGGTCGTCGATTCGGTTGTGTTACGCTAGTAGCAGCTACTGTAGGCTAGAGCCTCCAGCTCCACACTCCACACCCCCAGATTTCTTTTCATTTTCAAACTTGCAACCCCAATCACCACTGACTCAAATGACATCACTTGAGGCAGTTTGCACATCTCCCTTTGGATCCACAAAAGGCTTTATACAACTTGTTTGTAGTAGTACTTCCTACAACCTGTAAACACACTATGATCAAAATCAGCTGAGTTCCCTTTGAGTTTATCTTCACAAACACAGAAGCTAAATATGGAGAAATCTGGGGGGGGACAAGAGGAGACACAATCTAGTAAAACAATGAAACTGCTGATCGAAATTTGTTGCTATTCACATTCAAATAGATAAAAGAAAATACACAGGCATCAAACAGAACAGACAGGTGTGTTAGGTGTGGAAACACAATTCACTATAGAGCAGAGAAGAATAGGATGAAAACAATAACAAGAAAACTGAAAGAAACTGAAAAGAAAAGCAGGTCTGCTGTGAGATCTGGTAGTGAGACTGTAGTGAGAGGTTAGTGTGTTTGCACATGTGTGTGTGTGTATTTGTGTTTGAAATGTGGATGTCTTGTTGGAGCTGATTTGCTGTGTGTATTACTGGTCACTGTCCGATGCTGTTTTTCGTCACTAAGTGCTGAAAACTCCTAACTAACAGTTTACGTGTATCCGTTGAACCTGTTACGTTCAACTGAGCTGCTTCCTTCCCAACATTTGCCCGGTTCACATCAGACCATTAAGCTCAGCTGTCTGATTTCAACTTTACTCTTAAACTTTATTCCTGTTGTCATTTATTTCAGGGCTCAGCAGAGCGAGAGGCCGTGGCCACAGAGGAAATGTCAACTCTGGTAAACTATGTCCAGCCAACCAAGTTCAACTCCTTCGAAGCCTCCAAGAGTAAGAGTTGACATACTAACACACACTCTGCTTTATATTTCTCTGTCTGCAAGACAATTCTTGGAACAGTACTCACACAGAGCTGGAAAATCCTTCAATTACATTTCAGGATCAACATTGAGGATGACCTCTGAGGAATTTTTACAATGATACAGGAGCAGTTTCTCCGTCATTGACCTCATTGTTTCTTGAATTGATAAGATTTCAACAAGAAGTAAAAAATAATATAATAAGTTATCTGATTTGTCATTTTAACCTTTATGTTTTAACACGAAGCGTGCAGTGTTTGGGGCCTTGCATTTTACCACAGAAGCAAAAAAATGAATTAACAGCAAACAGTTATTGCAATTCATATCCAAAGACAATGTAGGAATCATGTTGAAACCAAGATAATTGCTGAAACAAGTGTGTTGTGTGTGTGTGTTTGCTGTGTGTGTAGAGGCAGCCCGCTGTTACCACATGTCGTCTTTTGTGGAGACCAAAGCTTTGGAGCACCTCACAAAGTCACCAGTGGAGTTTGTAGAGTATCCTTGTTACAGTTACCACAGTAGCACCACGCCATGATAACCGCTTCTATACTTGTTCTTTATGCCTTTTTTTAATGTTTTTTTTTTCATTATATTTACAAACTTTCATGAATCTGTCTCTGAACAACTTCTAATATTTGTTTTAATGTCAGTAACCGCAGTATTGTCATTGGAAG